TTGTATATATATAAAATATATATATATATAATATAAATAATATATATATTGTATATATATATATATATATATATATATATATTGTATATATATTGTATATATATATATAAACCAAACTGTTTGTAAATCCGTCAAGAATTCAATGAGATAAGAGTATTTGTGTTAGTGCTGATCACTCACCTTACATTAAGTACCATAGAGCACTCCAGAAAGCCTGCCTGTGGTAAGATGGCCGCCCGGTGATGCCGTTTGAGACTCCGCCGTAAGACATCTAGCCTTTATTATGGATATCTATGACCGCATCCATATGCTTCCAGTGTGGATGTGGGAAATAAGAGGCAACTAACACCAAGAAGAGGCTGGAAAGAGGCGCAGACTGTTCCGCTTTTTATCGGCTCTGCCTGCTGAGGCTTCAGGAGCTCCTCAGGCTGCAATGCGCTCCTGAAGCGGAGGAGGAGGAGGAGGAGGAGGCGATGATGGCCGCAGATGTGGATAAAACAGTCCCGGAGAGAGAGCGGAGGAACGGGCTGAGGAGCCCAGGATCCGGATCCTGGTTCCGGAGAGGTTTGTGGCTCCTGCTGGTGGTCTGCGGGGCCCCCCTCGCTGCCTTTGGGATAAAGTTCTACCGGGACTCCGAGCTCCTCAAACGCCACGTAAGATCCAGTAAAAAGAGATCAAAATGTTGCCTTTAATGACCTGATTTTATTCTCTGATTTCTTCACATATCCGCTGTTTCTCAGACTGTGAGCAGATCTCAGAGCTCCAGCAGCATTTTTCTCTGTGGTTTTATTGGGTGGGAGGGTCTGCCTGCCAGCTGCTGGAACACATCTAGACTTAAAGTCTACAGTGCTTTGGTTTTCCAAGCTGTTCTTGGACCCCCACCCCCCCTCCAGTCCCTCCATTGTACAGCTGCTGGCAGGCACGCATCTGCCTGAGCTTCATCCAGGAGGAGAGAAGCTCCATCTGCCCTCCTGGATACCAAAGCAGGCCGGAACCAGGATGTTTGAAATACCGAGGAAAATATTGGGATAAATCACGTGACAAAAAACATCCTAATATGGCGACTTTTTAACATGTATTTGGAAACGTGAGTAAAGATAGTTAAACCACAAGCCCGCCATGGAGGTGAACATTAAGATGTTTATCACAACATTTCCAAAACTCACAAAAGTATTTTAGGAGTGAGTGAGTGATTATGAGTGAAGGAGTGAGTATGAGTGAGTGGGTGAATGGGTAAGTGAGTGAGTGAGTGAGTGAGTGAGTGAGTGAGTGAGTGAGTGAGTGAGTGAGTGAGTGAGTGAGTGAGTGAGTGAAGGAGGGAGTGAGTATGAGTGAGTGAAGGAGTGAGTGAGTGTGTGAGTATGAGT